AATCGTATAGCGAAACGATCTACGGCTGGACCGATCACGCGAGGCAGAGAGAAAGAGAGAGAGAGAGAAAGAGAGAGAGAGGAACCGAGGAGATTCCTGCCAGTCAACGTTTCGTCGAACGAGGAGTAACGGCTGCAAGCCTGTTGTGGCGCGTTTTAACGGTATTTCTATCGTGCCGGAGATCTGGGTTGCTGGAACGAACGCCGCTGCAAACGCATACGCGTTTTGGTTTCTCGCGCCGACAATAAAATTACAGCCCAAGACGCCGCGTTTTTCCTTAGTTTCTATGCATCGAGCGTGAACAACTTATCGTCCTACGGCTGGAAAATCTTTCACGCAACTTTCCGTTTATACGAACGATAAGAGGAATAATTAATTTATTTTACACACAAGATATATTATGATTTATCCGGGAAAGTTGTTTTTACATTCATTTATCAGTTTCTCATCTTGAGAAAAAACGAAATGAAATATAAACACGATCCTGAATTGAAACTGATTTAAAATCTTGTTGCACTGTAATACCAAATGTGAAACTCTCGTGATGCAACAAAGAAGAAAAAAAAGAGTACTATCTACTTTACAAATAAGGGACACGCTAACGAACGATCGGTCTCGTGACCGTAAAATCGCGGCGACGCGCGTTCACGCACGAGCGCGTGAAATTGCGCGTATATGATAGAAAATCGGCGACTTTGATCGGGCGGTGGTCGCGAGCGTAACGAATTCGGTCGTTTAACGGCACGGTGATCGCGATTCTCGCGAGGAACTATTTGATAGAACTGGTGGATCGCGACGTGGCTCTCGTAACGAGAAGCCACGTAGAGAGAACGGTGCAACGGGGCCAAGAATTTCGTCCGATAACTCGTCGGCGGAGATACTTAAGAAGGGGCGCATTATCGTCGTGCCGCGAAAAGAATTACAAGCGTTACGGTCCTAGACCGGTTCGTCTACTTTTTTTTTCCGACTCCGATCGGCGGCAGCTGACGGTACCTGGGAGACGCGCCTTGGGATATTTACAGAAAGAAAAACGTACGTGTCAAAAATTTCACAACGATCGTATCTGTATCTTGACGGAAAGCTTCCGAGGTTTTTTTACGCGCGCGTATCGGACTTTCTCGTTTTTGCAACTGTGTAAGTTTCTTCGCGAGAGCCGGCAAAAGTCAACGGATTTCACCTAAGATCCCTTGCGCGCTGCACATCCTCTCCGGCGCGTCTCGTACATAAGAGCGACGCTATGCAACGTGTAAACGGAGGAAAGACCTACGAGATATGGACTTTCGTGAAAGCGAATGTTTTTTTCTCGATGATGACAATGGAAAGAGAGATAGCGAGAGAGGTGAACGAGCGGCGATCGCCTCCAGCCTCCAAGACAGGCGAGGCAGACAGGTATGCGGCAGGTGACTTTACGACCGCCTGCAGGTAGGCGGACACCCCCCTCGCGAAAGAGGACAACGCTCTCGGCACGCCATTCCAAATCGTACCACTTCGCTGTTTAGACGACGTCTGCCGATTGCCGGTTAATAGGTCGCTGTTTTATACTTTTCTCTGTTTCGCGTGTTACATATTCGAGAAAATCGGTCGATATATTCGTTTCGATTTGCGTAAAAGTATGCGTACGCTGCGATAACTGTAACTGTGCGTTAAGATTATCCTTTCGATTTTACGGATTTTGTTCCCTTCAATTAATTTTTCCTCTTCTTAGGATATAAAACTGCGAGGTCGCGAAAGGCCGGGAAAAGAGGGCAACGAATCGCTTCCGTGCCACTTCGCGCCGCGTAATTACGATGGACGTCGATTAGCGGTTAATAGGCCGGTATCTTAATCGTCCGACTCGCGTGTAACTAGTGATCTCTTTACTTAATTATTTATGTAATAATAATGAAATATATATCGGGAAAACATTATTTTAATTGGACATACGATATGTAATCAGCAATAACGCAAAGTAGGAACATTATTATTCAACAAGTTGCGGAGGAAACAAGACCGTTGCAACTTAAAACTGGAACTCGTATTTAAAAAAAATTACAGATTACAGATGTCTATGTAGTATCAAAATAAAAGTATAGATTACCGATCGATACCGCGCTGCACTCGATTCTCTGTAAAAGAAGAGCGTAAAATGCATCGTCGACGGTGAGTAGAAAGTTTTCAACAACGTATCACGCATCGTCGTATAACAAAACGTTCGTCCTGATCAGTCATATCGAAAGTTTGGCAAAGGAATTCGAGCGATCGAATAATTAGAGAGGCAGAGAGCCTATAATTTCCGCGAGACAGAGACATGAAAGTGGCCCGCGAAGTGAAACTTCCATTACGGCGCGAAATTTTCGGCAACCTCATTGCGGGGGTTAACAACCCTGAGATTTTACGCATGCCATGAAAATACATGCGCGGGGGGAGAAGGAAGGGAGATGAAGCGAAGGGGAAAAGCGTGATACGCAGTCGCCTACAGGCGATGGACCATGCTTGTTTCTTCCTCTCTCTCTTTCTCTCTTTTCAACGTTTCGAGAATGTGATGACGAAGGCAAAAGAAGACGGAAAGAACGAGGGAGATGCTTCAAGGAACAGGTAATAACGGTACCGCATCTTTAAATCGTCTTTACATATATGTATATGTCGTTAGAATAATTAATATTTTGATTCGCATCGTGTTATGAAAACATTTACTGCAGTACCTCTACTTCGCCGCATAATTATATTTATCTTAATGGAATATAAATGTTAGTTTTATGCGTGTTTGTATGTGTGTGGTCACATTTCCTCGCTTGCACGTGTGCGCATGTTAATTGTTAATGCATCTATTACAAATGCCACGCGAACTTTCTTGTGCACTTTTGAGTTTTCCCGAAGTCCGTCAAGTGGTAAAGTGAGAGATTCCCACTTCGTTAGTCGAGTTATCGTTCTTCTCTGTCCGTTTTTACCTACGTGACCTAGGAAGGCCACTGTGTCAATCGCTTATTAATAAAAACGTAAGTCAAATGGAATAATTATATACTCCTTTTTATATGCTTGCTTTCTATTTCAATAAAAATTTATTAGAACGTGATTGTGCAAAATTTTGCTCTGTGCAAGAAAAAAATTCAAAAGATATAATGCATTATTTTTTAAAATACATTATATTTTTATTATGGTTTATCTAAATGTATACAGTTATGCAATATATACACATATCTTTTTATACTATATTTTCTTATCTATCTATCTAATAGCAACAATCGAGATGCATGTGAAAAATCAATGATATTAAATTATAATAACTTTATGCGCTATTAAAAATGACTTAATAACTTATTCAAAAGTTATTTTAGATACAATTATTAGAGATATTCTGTGCTTTATATATTCCAAGACTTAGTAAAATATAGTAAAAAAATATTATTTTTCTCGATATCTCTTTCGCATATTTATTTTTTTACATATCTCTACGGGGCGTAAAATCTAGTATACGCACCAGAGCCATTATTGTCTATGCAGCCTAGTTTCAGAAAAAATTAGGAACATAATTGAAAGATTTTTTTCTGTCAGACATGACCTATAAAGCTCCATCCATTCGCATTATTTGCGAACAGCCTATAGCCATGCCAACAGTGTTGATATGAAAACGATCCGATTGTCATTATACAGACATACATATACTATATATACACACTCCTCTCTCTTCTATTATATTATTTTGTTATGGCAGATCTTTTGGCTTTCAATTAATTTAATACTGACATCTAAACTGTTTTGATGAATGAGAATGTGAATATGTACAATATTATCTTTCTTAATCATTTTTAGACTAGAAAACAATTTTCATTAATATAATCTTCTTACGAATTAATTAATTAATCTCTGTGACAATTATACATCCATGTATACATGTATATGAGCGTTGTATTGTACAGTGAATAATATTGATAAATATTTTCCTGTCGTGTTCAATTGTGCAAGGGCATTAATAAAATAAATGTGAAGGGGTAACAAAATTCATGCAACAAATAATTACCAACCAATTTTATTCAAAAATTAAAACAAATGTTCGATATAAAGTAAATAAACCAACATCCAGTAGTTGAATTATCCGTTTACAACGGGCATTAATCAACTAAAAAAGAAGGAAGAAAAAATATAATATATAATTTCTAACATATTGAAAGTATATTCTTAGACTTTAACGTTATATGTGCGACAATATAAAATAAGCTCTGAAAATTAAATAAAACATAAGCGAGAGAACTCATCGCCGATATAAAAACTTATACTATTATAGGGCCAGCAAAATAGAGAATAACGTAATACGCGCACTATTCTAATTATCGGACGAAACTAACGTTCCATCAGATCCGATCGTATCACGGATTTAAGCTCTAGTTATTGCTTTGTATACACGTGTTTTAAGAAGAAAGAAATTTGTAATGGGCATCCATCTACCTGTGGACAGACAAAAGTTAGCGATAATCGATATTTTATATATATCGACAATATAATTATATTCACTTGTAACTGCGTCCTAAAAAAGGGATAGCGTATATTAATGTATAACATCGTAATGCCGATATAATGATATACGTAATTGTATATACATATAATATATATATATATACGTAAAAACGTTCAACAGTTTACATTTTTAATATTGCTATACAAGAGACACTTATCATGGTAGATTAAATCTCATTCGTTGATATCGTAATTTAAAAATAACTATAACTACCCGCGACTGTTTTTGCTTAGAATAATTTTTCAACAGATATAAGATAAATTAATTTTTCTCAAGCGCGAGTTTATCACAGCCCGCATTATCGAAATAATCCTTTTCAGATTATCAGTCATGGAAAAATTCGAACACCGTTAAAAGTAAAATTTAAGGTAAAATACGTATTTATTTTATATATATTTTTATAATTATTGTAGTTATTAATATAAAATTAATAATAAATTAATAATTATAACAATTAATTAGCATTATAATTATATCATTTATAATTATCATTACTAATTAATATTACAATTATTAAGTATTTTCTATATCTTTATATACCCAATATAGTCAATATAACAAAATAGAGCTTCCAGAAAACTATATGTATATGCTATATAATGGATATTTATATATTATATATAAATATAACCATTTTTGCAAGAAAAGCTTTAATATCAGAATGCATTAATAAAAGCATAATATTTCTGGAAAATTGAATAAAACATTAAATTTTAATAAGCCAATTTAATTGGATACAACGGGCATGTAAAACTTGTGTTTCTGTGTGTCTCTGGTATGCTTGAAGGGCGCCTGTTTTGCTTCTAAAAGAGTGGCTGGACACGGTCCCCTATGCCTAGGAACGTATTCTCTCTTGTACATGCTAGAATTGACGACACTGTCGTCGCCTAAATTAATATGAGATGCATTCGTTTGCCTCTGTACTCGTTCCACTTTCTGAGAACTCTGCGAGAAGTTACCATAACTCTTCGCTTCGCTCTGCGAATAGAACTTTCCGCCAACAGTCAGGTTGTCATGTCGCACGATTTTCTGCGGGCGTTCGTAGCTGGAGGAGGCCCAAGGATTTACCTCCTTAGAACTACGATGTAGCGAGGTCAAGCTACGTCTATCATTGCTGTGGCTCGAATTGCTGATGTACTGTCCGCTCTCGGCCAGGTTCGAAATACTTTTTCGCTGATCAGCCGCCGTCGACGAGATCGTGTGAAGCGCTTCGGTAGACGTAGTGACGCCACCATTACGACAAAGCACTGCATTATTGACATCAGCCGACGAGGAGGATATCACGTTCTTGCGATGATGACCAATCTTCTTGGCCGAATCGACGTGCGAATGTTCCACGATCGTTTGCCCATTGATCGTCCGCCGGAATTCCGGACTGCTCGAATTATATTGTGCTTGATTGGAGATGGTGTGCTGCTCGTGCTGCTGTCTCGTCGCAGATCTCTGCCGACTTTCCATGTGTTGCATGTTTACGTAATCGCGTTTACTCACTTCCTGATGATGACGCTCGATGTGCTGATGTTGCTGTCTGTGATGTTCGCCGTGCACAGCGTCGATCGCATAACGAGATGTATCTTCTCCTCGTGCGATCTGCCCTCGGTGATTTAGTCCTTCCGTGATCGATCTGTCCTCGACCGTTCGACGAGTCTGCGTCATATTTTGCGATCGCAGATGTTGCTCGTTTAAATGCATTCTCTGATGCTGTTCGTGATGCTGACTGGATGTAGTTTTTCGCGAATCAACAGGCTGCGGTCCAGATCCCTCAATCGGTTGGGGGGTACGATGATCGGTAACACGTTGTGTTTGTTGTTGATGAGTGATAGTTTGGGCATTGGCGACTCTTTGATCGGACTGAGCGGAGGTTGTAGTCCGTTTTATGGTTGCAATAACCGTTCCGTCTGTCAGAGTTTGCGATTCCACGGTTTTTCTCGCGTCGGACTCCATCTGACTCATCTTAGCAGCAATGTCTTTTCCTGTACGCTTCGTATAGGTGTTGTAGTTACGTCGATTCGTCGTAGTCATCACAGTAGTGTCGTCACCAAGCGAAATAGACGATTCCATATGTTTTCGACGATTCACTATTTTATCAGCGGGAGAAGGTTCCTGTTTAGAGGGTGTGTAAGTATCTCGGGTAGTCGTTTTCGTTTCCATAGTGCCGGCGTTGATCTTCAAGTTATCCTCGTGCGACTTGATGTCCGCGCGTTCGCCACGTACGACTGTGTAGGTCGATCTATGAGACGTTGTATCTTCGAAATCGCCCGTCATCTTTAAATTATCTTCTCTCCTCACAACTTCGGTCCTTTCCGTCCTTTTAGGTGTGAAGTCGTCGCGCGGGCGTCCAATAAAGTCACCTTCAGGCTTCAAATTATCGGCGTGACGAATCGGTGTCCGTCGTTCACCGGGACCAACTTTATCCGTGGTGATTCTACGTTCGAAATCACCCTCTGGCTTGAGATTATCCGGATGTTTGATCGGCGATCTTCTTTCTCCGCGGCCGACAACGGTTTTTTCGTATCTGTCAAAGTCTCCTTCCGGACGGAGGTTGTCTGAATGCTTCTTAATTGGCATGCGTTCACAAATCACGTGTACGTAATCGTCTTTGCGACGCACATCGATAAATTCGCCCTCCATTCTGAGATTATCCTCGTGTCTCTTAACATCTACTTTCTCTACTTTTGTAATTTTCTTATAATCATCTCTCGAACGATGAATGTCCATCTCTCCCTCCATACGTAAGTTATCTTCGCGTCGCCGCACTTCCACGCGTTCTCCATTTACGTGCTTGTAATCATCCTTCGGAGACACTTCCATCTCACCTTCGGGGCGAAGATTATCCTGGGGTTTCTTAACCGGCGAACGATCTCCTCTCTTCGGAATGAAATCGTCCTTAGGCATGATATAGAAGTCTCCTTCGGGATGTAGATTGTCCTCGTGTTTGATCGGCGTTCTTCGCTCGGCTGGTTCCACCTTCTTCGGGATACGTTTCGCGAATTCTCCTTTGAGATGAAGATTATCCTTCGGTTTCTTCACATCCGCTCGGTCACCCTTCAATGGCGTGTCTTTCTTCGGTCGACCGACAAATTCTCCCTCCGGATGAAGGTTGTCGGGATGCTTGATGGGCGATCGCCGTTCAGCGGGACCAATGGGCGATTTCGTTGGTCTGTCAAATTCACCCTCGGACTTCAAATTATCCTTAGGCTTTCTGATGATTGCTCGGTCTCCCCTAGTAGGTGCGTGTTCCTTTGGCCGCTGCACAAAATCACCTTCTGGCTTCAAGTTGTCGGGATGTTTGATGGGAGATCTTCTCTCGGCCGGACCTATCGGTGCCTTTTCCGGACGTTCACACACAAAATCACCCTCGGAGCGAAGATTATCTTCGTGTCTGATAATTTTGCTACGTTCGCCACGTGTGGCTCGGTAATCGTCTCGTCGATGAATATCGACAAATTCACCTTCGATCTTTAGATTATCCTCGTGTTGAACAATGTCCACTCGCTCGCGTTTAGAAGTGATCACATAATCGTCTCGTGATCGGTAAACGTCTATATCGCCTTCCATCTTCAAGTTGTCTCGATGCATCACAATTTCGGTTCTCTCTCCTTTCATCGGTTTGTAATCATCTTTCGGTTTACCTACAAATTCTCCTTCAGGCTTCAAGTTGTCCTTGGGCTTCTTCTGGATCGGTCGATCAGTCCGTTTGGGAGTAAAGTCATCCTTTGGTCGTCCAACGAATTCACCCTCCGGATGTAGATTGTCGTCGTGTCGAATCGGCATCCGCCGTTCAGCTGGTCCGATTGGCGATTTCTGAGGCCTCTCAAATTCACCCTCCGAACGCAAATTATCTTTCGGTCTGGTAACATCTGCCCTTTCGCCTTTGAGAGGTGTTTTTTCCTTTGGACGTTTTTCAAACTCACCCTCAGGCCGCAAATTATCAGGATGCTTGATAGGCGTTCGTCGCTCGGACGGTCCGATTGGAATTTTCTCGGGTCTCTCAAAGTCTCCTTCAAACTTAAGATTATCTTCAGGTCTCTTAACATCCATTCTATCTCCTCTTTTTGGAGCTTCTTCCTTAGGCTTGCCTACAAACTTTCCTTCTGGCTTCAAGTTGTCCGGGTGCTTGATCGGAGTTCTTCTTTCCGCTGGACCAATCGACGTTTTCTCCGGTCTTTCGAAATCACCTTCCGAACGCAAATTATCGGATGGTTTCTTTACTTGAGGTCTTTCTGCTGGATGATATTCTTCGTATTTCGGCCGTTCAAATTCTCCTTCCGGTTTCAAATTATCCGGATGTTTAATCGGAGAACGTCTCTCAGCGGGACCAATCGGTTTTTTTTCCGGCCTTTCAAAATTACCCTCGGGTATAAGATTGTCTTTCGGTTTCTTGACATCAGCTCTGTCACCTTTCTTCGGCGCTTCTTCTTTCGGTCTAGAAACAAACTCGCCTTCCGGTTTCAAGTTATCGCGCGGTTTCTTTATAATTGCTTTCTCCGCAGGTTTATATTCTTCAGGTTTAGGCCTCTTCTCGAACTCGCCCTCTGGTTTCAAGTTATCGTGCGGTTTCTTTATAATTGGTTTCTCCGCAGGTTTAAATTCTTCAGGTTTAGGTCTCTTCACGAACTCGCCCTCTGGTTTCAAATTATCAGCATGTTTAATCGGAGAACGCCTCTCTGCTGGACCGATCGGAGTCTTCTCGGGTCTCTCAAAATCTCCTTCCGGCCGTAAACTGTCTTTCGGTTTTTTGACGTCAGCTCTCTCGCCTTTTGTCGGTGCTTCTTCCTTGGGTCGGCGTACAAAATCGCCTTCTGGTTTTAAATTATCTTTTGGTTTTTTAATTTCAGGCCTTTCTGCTTTCTTGGGCGAGAAATCATCCTTCGGGCGGCCTTCAAACGGACCTTCAGGTTTTAAATTATCACGATGTTTAACAATGTCTACACGTTCGCCTTTAACGATTTTGAAATCATCTCGCGTTCTCGTATCGATGAATTCACCTTCCATACGTAAGTTGTCTTGATATTTAGTAATTTCGGTTTTTTCGCGTATCAAGAAATCAATGTACTCATCTCTCGATCTGTATGTTTCTATGTCTCCTTCCATACGCAGATTATCCGTGCGCTTAACAATATCCATGCGTTCTCCTCGCATCGGTCGATAGTCATCTTTCGGCCGGCCTTCAAATGGACCTTCCGGTTTCAAATTATCTATCGGTCTTTTAACATCCGCGCGCTCACCTCTCGTAGGTGTAAAATCTTCTTTCGGCTTACCAATAAATTTGCCTTCGGGTTTAAGATTATCTGAATGTTTAATCGGGCTACGTCTTTCTGCTGGACCAATAGGTACTTTCTCTGGTCGTTCGAAGTCGCCCTCGGGACGTAGATTGTCTTCCGGACGTTTCACCTCGGGACGTTCGGCACGTTTGGGCGAGTAATCATCTTTTGGACGACCTTCGAACGGCCCTTCAGATCGTAAGTTGTCTTTTGGACGCCGAACATCCGCACGCTCTCCTTTACTCGGCTTATAATCATCTTTCGGTCGTCCTTCGAAAGGTCCTTCTGGTTTTAGGTTATCCTCGGGCCGTTTGACATCAGCACGTTCGCCTCTAGTTGGCTTGTAATCATCTTTAGGTCGTAGCCCTTCGAAAGGTCCTTCTGGTTTTAAATTATCTTGTGGTTTTTTTACTTCTGGACGCTCGGCTCTCTTAGGGCTATAATCGTCCTTTGGTCGACCCTCGAATGGTCCTTCTGGTTTCAGATTGTCTTCCGGTCTCTTGACATCGGCACGTTCTCCTCTAGTTGGTTTATAATCATCCTTAGGCCTTCCTATGAAATCACCTTCTGGACGAAGATTATCGTTGTATTTAATAGGAGTTCTACGTTCGGCCGGTTTAAAAGGCTCGACTTTTCTGTCTGGAAATTCTCCTATTGGAAATAGATTGTCAGGATGACGTACGATAGATGCTCTGTCACCAGGACCATAAGGTATTGGCTCAGGTCTTTCGAAATCGCCTTCAGGATACAAATTATCCGCATGTTTAATTGGCGTACGTCTCTCACCAGGCGTATATTGATCTTTAGGACGATCTACAAAATCACCTCCAGGTCGTAAATTGTCTTTCGGTCGCTTTATATCAGGGCGTTCCGCTGTCTTCGGAATGAAGTCATCCTTAGGACGTCCTTCAAACGGGCCCTCTGGCTTTAAATTATCTTGAGGACGTTTAACATCAGCTCTGTCACCGGGACCATAAGGTATTGACTCAGGTCTTTCGAAATCGCCTTCAGGATACAAATTATCCGCATGTTTAATTGGCGTACGTCTCTCACCAGGCGTATATTGATCTTTAGGACGATCTACAAAATCACCTCCAGGTCGTAAATTGTCTTTCGGTCGCTTTATATCAGGGCGTTCCGCTGTCTTCGGAATGAAGTCATCCTTAGGACGTCCTTCAAACGGGCCCTCCGGCTTTAAATTATCTTGAGGACGTTTAACATCAGCTCGCTCGCCTCTAGTTGGTCGGTAATCATCCTTAGGTCGGCCTTCGAAAGGTCCTTCGGGACGTAAGTTGTCTTCTGGCCGTTTTATTTCAGGGCGTTCGCCGCGTTTAGGTGAATAATCATCTTTAGGACGTCCTTCGAATAGTCCCTCTGGTTTTAAGTTATCTTCAGGTCGTTTAACATCAGCACGTTCTCCTCTGGTAGGCTTGTAATCATCTTTAGGTCGGCCTTCGAAAGAACCTTCTGGCCGTAAATTATCTTCCGGGCGTTTAACATCCGCGCGTTCTCCTCTGGTTGGTGTATAATCATCTTTGGGACGTCCTTCGAACGGTCCCTCTGGCTTTAAATTATCTTGAGGACGTTTAACATCAGCTCGCTCGCCTCTAGTTGGTCGGTAATCATCCTTAGGTCGGCCTTCGAAAGGTCCTTCGGGACGTAAGTTGTCTTCTGGCCGTTTTATTTCAGGGCGTTCGCCGCGTTTAGGTGAATAATCATCTTTAGGACGTCCTTCGAATAGTCCCTCTGGTTTTAAGTTATCTTCAGGTCGTTTAACATCAGCACGTTCTCCTCTGGTAGGCTTGTAATCATCTTTAGGTCGGCCTTCGAAAGAACCTTCTGGCCGTAAATTATCTTCCGGGCGTTTAACATCCGCGCGTTCTCCTCTGGTTGGTGTATAATCATCTTTGGGACGTCCTTCGAACGGTCCCTCTGGCTTTAAATTATCTTGAGGACGTTTAACATCAGCTCGCTCGCCTCTAGTTGGTCGGTAATCATCCTTAGGTCGGCCTTCGAAAGGTCCTTCGGGACGTAAGTTGTCTTCTGGCCGTTTTATTTCAGGGCGTTCGCCGCGTTTAGGTGAATAATCATCTTTAGGACGTCCTTCGAATAGTCCCTCTGGTTTTAAGTTATCTTCAGGTCGTTTAACATCAGCACGTTCTCCTCTGGTAGGCTTGTAATCATCTTTAGGTCGGCCTTCGAAAGAACCTTCTGGCCGTAAATTATCTTCCGGGCGTTTAACATCCGCGCGTTCTCCTCTGGTTGGTGTATAATCATCTTTGGGACGTCCTTCGAACGGTCCCTCTGGCTTTAAATTATCTTGAGGACGTTTAACGTCAGCTCGTTCGCCTTTAGTTGGTCGATAATCATCCTTAGGTCGGCCTTCAAAAGGTCCTTCGGGACGTAAGTTATCTTCTGGTCGTTTTACTTCAGGGCGTTCGCCGCGTTTAGGTGAATAATCATCTTTAGGACGTCCTTCGAACGGTCCCTCTGGTCTCAAATTATCCTTGGGTCGTTTAACATCAGCGCGTTCTCCTCTGGTAGGTTTGTAATCATCTTTAGGTCGACCTTCGAAAGGACCTTCCGGCCGTAAATTATCTTCCGGGCGTTTAACATCCGCGCGTTCTCCTCTGGTTGGTGTATAATCATCTTTGGGACGTCCTTCAAACAGTCCCTCTGGTTTTAAATTATCTTTAGGACGTTTAACATCAGCTCGTTCGCCTTTTGTTGGTCGGTAATCATCTTTAGGTCGGCCTTCAAAAGGTCCTTCGGGACGTAAGTTATCTTCTGGCCGTTTTACTTCCGGACGTTCGCTGCGTTTAGGTGAATAATCATCTTTAGGTCGGCCTTCGAAAGGACCTTCTGGCCGTAAATTATCTTCCGGGCGTTTAACATCCGCGCGTTCTCCTCTGGTTGGTGTATAATCATCTTTGGGGCGTCCTTCGAACGGTCCCTCTGGTTTTAAATTATCTTTAGGTTTCTGTATTTCCGGTCTGCGTGACAATATCGGCGTAATATAATCATCTTTCGTGTGAGGTAATGCTTCGAAGGGTCCTTCGGGTCTCAAATTGTCAGCTCTTCTTACAACAATAGTGCTTTTGTAATCCGTCTGATCGAAACTACGATATTGCTCTTGAGTGGTTGTAGTGCTGTCCGTGATATCAGTTTTGCTGTAGAACCGATCGACGTCTTCAGGGTATTTCGGTCGCCACTGAGGTTCGCGCTCAATAACATGAGTTTGGAAATCCTCCTTTATATGAGAGGTACCCTGCAATATAATTTTGTTTTTTAACAATAAAGATATGAAAGAAAATAGGAAAAAATACAATAATATTATAAACATTTTAATCGAAATAAAATTCGATAAATTCATCATTCAAGGTACTAACAGTGAATTCACCCTCTCCCACGGTGAGGTTATCTGTTCGTTTGATGATCTCAGCGCGTTGAATATTGTGATGATCGATATATTGGGACCGCGTCGTCGTTTCATCAACGAAATCACCCTCTATCTTTGTATACGTATTGCGACGTATTGGAGTCGGTCGTTCGCCAGGAGTACCGGTGAAGACTAACTCTGTTGTTGTTGTAGCTGGGAAATGAGAAAATAATTTTTTTTTTATTTGCATTGAACATGCGGACGATTTTACAAAAGAATATTTAATTTGCTACATTTAAAAATCGCTGGATTGTGTGTGTATGTGTATGCGTGTGTGTGCGCGCGGATGAAACTTATAATACAGAAATGACAATTCAATGAAAAATAAAGCAAGTGTGAAAACTTACTATCAAAATCTCCTTCGAGCTTCAAGCTAGCCTGTGGCTTTTTTACAGGTGCTCTCTCACCCTTCGTAGGTGTCTCCTCTTTTGGTCTTTTGACGAATTCACCCTCAGGTTTCAGATGATCTTGTGGCTTTTTAACCGGTGCTCTCTCGCCTTTAATAGCCACATAATCGGCTCGCCTCTGTCCGATAAACTCGCCTTCTGTATGCAAATGATCCTCATGATAATATTTCGTTTGCTTCTCCACGCGTTTTTCATCATAATCCTGGCGATAGGAAGTCACCGTATGCACCGGTTTCTCGTAAGGAAACTCGAACTGTTCTTGAGGCAAGTTGTGCGGGCAGCGATGACGTCTAAAATATTATCATTTGTTAGAATCAGAATAAAAATAGATTCAGTGTCTACAACATGTCTCTCAACTCGTGTGAGACATGAGCATGCTTTGAAAAAACATTTTCGTATTAAAAAAAAATAATGACAACAAAAAACAGTACTTTTAAAGAGCTGCATATACATATTAAAAAATAGAAATATTCATATTTTATTAAACAAAATTCCACCTATACTCTTATGTATATTACAGTACGACAGTATACATATTGTATACCTGTTTAATATTAATAAAGAGAAAGAAGAGCGTTTTCTCTTCGCAGAAAATTCTTGTTATCCGCTTTTGTATTCATCCGAACGAAGCTGGCGCATGACAAAGGCTTGGCGCATACAGAGATTTAAATATGACGCAAAAGGGCATCAATCCTTTTATAATGAGTATAAAGGTCTCTGTGCGCGCTTGTGTCGTGATTTTAAATGTCTCGTTACTCTCGAAGTTAGTATTTGCAGCACGCCATTACCGCGCGCGAGATGGATATAGAAACGAAATCATGATCTCATTGCAATCTGTAGTAAAAACTATATCCCGGATTCATGTAATTGCGGACCTATAGGCAGTTATTGTCACGCAACCACTTGTGTATACCATTATAGACGCCACTCTTTTTTAACAAGGCTCATTAAACTTTCAGATTACGACGATTAGCTCATTCAATACACGACGTTTTAATGATATCATCTTAGATATCATATTAATATTATATCTTTTAATATCATATATTACATATGATTAAAACTAAAAATAAGCATTTTTAAATAATGCGAGAATTACGATAAGCTGGATAAATAATTTTGTGCAATAGAACTTGATTTGTTATAATGCATGCTTGATTCATGCATGTGACACGTAGTGAAAAAAGTATTTAATAGTCAGACTGACGCAATATACGTATTAACGACGTATGACATAAAGTGAATTGTTATTCATACATATTCAATTAATTAAACGTTTTCTTTGACCTGATTATATAAAAAATATTAAATAAGTACGTGTAGAACGTGTGTGATTGCATTAAAAATGTTATAAGATTCTTTCGCCTATAAAATTTTCTTTCGGCATTAATCGCAATTAATTAATGAAAAACTATCATCTCTTCCCTTTTTGAGAGGCGCGCATCACGTATCCCGATGGGGATACTTTACATTTCGAAGGCAATCGGTTGGGTTTATCCGTAGATGGCGAGAGAAAAGAAACGAGTATCCTCGCCAATATTTTATGCAGAGCAATTCGACTTATTTGGAGAACGTGATTTAGCGGGTATGGGATACCCTATTTTTGTATAAGTATATTGAGTAGTATTGACACATTTCCAGTTATTGTCATTCTTTCTTACCCTTCTTTTTACTGTCGGAATGCAATTCCATAAATGTCAGACCTGGTCTCAGCCGAGTATATATTCTCATGTATTTTTTATTGGATAAAACTTTGCGTTACATGTGACGCGTTCTGAACGTTCCTTTAGAGCCGTGTTAAACCAGACGAGAGAAATTATATCAGGTCTCTCAAAGTTAAGCAGACTTACGTAGAAATTTCCGACGACTAATCGCTAGCAAGCAGACGAACCGCAATTACTTCTTGAGACGGTCACGACACGACTAATTTGCTCCGAGCTTACGCCTTTCGTTCGCGAATGTCTGCGCTGTCGAGCCTTTATCTAGGTCAAGATTTTCAATCTGACAAGACTTCACTGAAGTTTACACGCATATACATAAAATATATCATGTAATTACTGTCGTTACTGAAAAGCCACATATACTAAAGTAAAGTTGAAATAGGAAAAATATACAGTTTGCTAACATGTCGAGACTTCCTTTTCATCTCTTGATATTTTCGTATATGAAAAACTTGAGGGAAACTAAAAATATTGCAACTTTAATCTTGTTTTACATAACCAACTGCTCTCCTTGAAAGAAGCGATAAATATCCTTCAAAAATGATGGTGTGTCTAACGCAATTACCAAAGTTGTATCGTAAATTTCTACGATTCGTCATTGTCACATAAAGCTACGTAGGTTGGTAAAGTTCGAATAAGGCAGGAATTCTGTGCGATGACTTGCCATCGCCCATAAACAACTTGCCATAAAAGGATCTGTCTCGTGTCCTACTTTTGCACATTATGAATATGTATATAAAGTATTCTAAAAAGATTGCGAATAAGATATTCTTGCCTTTTTTTAATGAATTTATTATCGATATTTTTATAGCAAAAATTGAATCATATTAAACAAGAATATCACTCGATTAAAACTAATTTAATGGAAAGAAGGGAAACTCTCTTAATAAGAAACTTGTGATCATGTATGAGAAGCAGAGTAAAAATAATACATCTTGCATTACGACAACATTAAAGTGCAACAGGTAGATATATTTATATATCAACGAATGTACGTTCAACTTTGAATAAATCATTTCAATAAATTTAATAGAGTAGGAAATATGGCCTTGAAGACAATCTCCTGTGCTCCTCTCGTGAATTTGCATCTCGACTCCGATAAGTTTTGTATTCTGATCTTGTTAATAGTGTTTCGTAGTAGGTCAGTCATGTTCATCTCCGCAACGTGTAGATAAGTTAAATTAAATCATATTCGCACTAGCTATAGTTGTTAATTATATTCCTCGCGATATATTAGAATTGTTGATGTAGGAGTAATCAGAAAAGAGAAGAGAAATCTTAGAAAATAAAAAAAGGGAGAAATTTTTAATTTTGGCTTAATAAGCAATATATAATTTAGATCGAATTAAATTATATCGGTTTCTCTTTTTTCCCACGCATATTCATGTAAAAAGAATATTTGATTATACAAGGAAGTCTTACCCGCAAGTACAAAGCTCGCAAATACACTGTTCCTTCAAGGGGATTTTCGATAGTATATCCGGCATCGGTCTAGGGCCGTCGGCGTCCTCGTCGAGAGAATCTGGAATTTGATCTCCTCGTTTCGGCTTGTCATCTTGTTCCGGTCTTGTCGGCTTTCCGGGCTTCTCCGCAGGCCAACTTGGCTTGCCAGCCGCTGGTTGTGGTTTTCTAGTCGGCGATGTATAATCACGAAGTTTCTCAGGCGACTTTGGACGGACTTTGGTAGGTCTTTGCAACAAAATTAGATATTAACAAATTATAAATAATTAGTATAATTTTTTTCCCTTTCTTCTTTCTTTTCTTTTTTATTCTTTTTTGTTTTTAAATATATACATATCTTGAGAGAAAACAAGTAAATATAAAGTTAAAGAATGTGATATACATTATAATATAATATATAATAATATATAATTAT